CGCCCCCCCCGCGGCTCGCAGAGCGGCCGCGTGTCTTTGCATGGTGGAGGCACAGGAAGGAGGGTCTGGTGCCATCCCTGCAGCCACCAGGGCCGATGACACCGTGCCCAGGCTGCACTGTGGGTCCCTGCAGTGCTGCCAGGCAGCTCTTGCCCACCAGAGCCTGCAAGGGGGGGACGCCTGGCCAAGAGCCACACATGCCCCCACTGGGCCTGGGGGCACACGGCGGCAGCAGAGCAGGGGGAGTAGGAGGGAGCAAAGGCGCTCGCTGCCCCTCCAGCCCACAGCTGTGCAGCTGGCTCCACGCTGCAGCCAGCTCCTGCCCAGCCCCAACCAGCAGAGCTGCCAGGAGGCACCAGCCCACATGCCGGAGCCACGCGGCAAAGCCGAGCATGCCACATCCCAACACAAAGGCACGTCACCTCCCAGCCCACGCAGCCCCGGGTGCACCAAGCCCGGGCAGCACCCTGCCTCCTGCCCTGGGGACCCAGGGGTCCTGCCGCCCCCGAGGGGCTGGGGCTCGTGCAGCCCTTCCCTGAGGTCCTGGCAGAGCAGGGAGCCGGAGGGAACGGGAGGCAAGGAGCGTTGCCTGCCCCAGCACGCAGGGAGCTGAGCAGGGGGACGTGGTTGAGCTGCCGGCAGAGCACAGGGTGGCACGCCTGCTTGTGCTGGCCATGCTGTCACCCGTGGGTGGTGCTGTACCATGGCACCGGGACCAGCTGTGCAAACCCCAGCACCCGGGCACGCACACACACACACAGAGGGCACAGCTTAGCTGCTGCACTCAGCGGGCCCCGAGGAGCCGGAGGGACGCCTTTGCACTGAGGCAGATCGGGAGTGCTCTCATGTCCTGGCTGTTCCCTTGGGGACAGAGCAGAGGGGAATGTGGGGGATGCCCAGGGGCACTCAGAGCCTCCCCCTTCCAGGGAGGGTCACAGTCACCCACCAGCCCCACACACAACCCCGCAGACCCCATCCAACCCGCCAGCTCCTTGGGCAGCCCTGAGCCCCGAGGCCCTTGCAGGAGCCCCTCCTGGCTCCCGCTCTCTCCAGCCGGTCCCAGTCTCTGCTGCCGGAGGAAGGACCCACCGCCGAGCTGCATCCCACAGGACCCTTACCTCCTCCCACTGGTGGATGTAGCGGATGAGCCGGGAGAGACGGAGGAGCCGCAGGAGGCTGAGGATCTTGGTGAAGCGGACAATGCGGAGGGCGCGGGCCGTCTTGTACACCTCCGAGTCTATGCCCTTCTCCACAATGAGGAAGACGTAGTCCACGGGGATGGAGGAGACAAAGTCCACCACAAACCAGGTCTTGAGGTACTTCTTCTTGATCCTCTCAGGGTCCAGGATGATTTCCGTGTTGTCCTCAATGACAATCCCCGTCCGGAAGTTCAGCACCAGGTCCATCAGGAAGAAGGTGTCAGAGACCACATTGAACACAATCCAGGGCGCTGTGGTCTCCTCCTTGAAGAAGGTAATGCCCACGGGAATGATGATCAGGTTGCCCACCATGAAGAGCAGCATCGTGAAGTCCCAGTAAAACCTGCGGAGTGAGAGGATGGAGGAGAGTGTCACCAGTGCCCCACAGCCACCCCCCACGTCAAGGGGACCCGGCCATCACGCCCTGCCCTAAGGGACCCGCGCTACTGGGGTGCTACTCTGACGCCACCTTAGCCACAGGCACCCCTTTCCTCTCCCCAGGGACCACATCCTGCTCCCCCTGCTCCAAACTGCCCCCAGGCCTGATCCTGCAGGGCCAGCACAGTCCCACCTGGTTGAGATAGGGCTGTGCAAGTGCAGAGGGGGGTGCAGGATGAGGCCGGGGACTGTCCACTGCAGGGGGCTCTTCCTGCTGTGCTGGTTTGGCTGGAGGTCTGCCCTGAGCACCCAAACCCAGGCAGGTGCCGGAGTGAGGGGAGAACGATGAGGCAGGTGCCGGTGGGGGAGACCCTCCCGCCGAGCCGCCCTGGGGCAGCCCGTGGGCTGGGGACCACCCTCATCCCCAAACCACCCGCCGCGAAGGAGCCATCGCACTCTCCACAGGCAGCGCTCAAGGTCGTGCGTGGAGGCAGGACGGGAGAGCCCGGCCTCCCCCACCGCTGCCCTGGGAGCAGCCCCCACCCCTCCCTGCTCCCAGAGGGGGACCCGAGGACGGGAACAGCATCCCTGGGGACAGCCGAGGCCACCCCACCCTGGGGACAGCCGAGGCCACCCCACCCCAGCACCTCCCTGGACCAGGCTGCAGTCCCAGTTTCGGGGGTGAGCAGGGCAGAGGCTGGATGTCTGACCCCGGCAGCGCGGCCGGCGTGGGAGGGG